AACACCCAGTGCTCATCCCATCAAGTGTCCCCCTCAGTGCCCGTCACCCATTCACCCCCACCCCCCGCCCTCCTCCCCCTCCACCACCCCTAGTTCATTTCCCAGAGTTAGAAGTCTTTATGTTCTGTCTCCCTTTCTGATATTTCTCACACATTTCTTCTCCCTTCCCTTATATTCCCTTTCGCTATTATTCCTATTCCCCAAATGAATGAGAACATACACTGTTTGTCCTTCTCCGGTTACTGTGGCCAAGTTCAAAAAGGGTGTTGCCTGAGTTCTCCTCTGGGATTTTGATGGAATCTTGTCTCACATTTAGATCTTTCATCTATTTTGAGTTTATCTTTGTGTATGGTGCAAGAGAGTGGTCCAGTTTCATTCTTCTGCATGTGGATGTCCAATTTTCCCAGCACCATTTATTGAAGAGACTGTCTTTCTTCTAGTGGATCGTCTTTCCTCCTTTATCGTATATTAGTTGAGCATAAAGTTCAGGGTCCACTTCTGGGTTCTCTGTTCTGTTCCATTGATCTATATGTCTGTTTTTGTGCCAGTACCACACTGTCTTGATGAACACAGCTTTGTAGTACAACCTGAAATCTGGCATTGTGATGCCCCCAGATATGGTTTTCTTTTTTTAAAATTCCCCTGGCTGTTTGGGGTCTTTTCTGATTCCACACGAATCTTAAAATAATTTGTTCTAAGTCTCTGAAGAAAGTCCATGGTACTCTGCGCCTTTTGATGGGGTCATTAAGCCCATTCACGTTCAGAGTTACTATTGACAGATATGAGTTTAGTGTCATCATGATATCTATTTAGTCCTTGTTTTTGTGGATTGTTCCACTGACCTTCTTCTTAAAGGGGAGTTTTAAGAGTCCCCCTTAAAATTTCTTGCAGAGCTGGTTTGGAGGTCACATATTCTTTCAGTTCCTGCCTGTCTTGGAAGCTCTTTATCTCTCCTTCCATTTTGAATGAGAGCCTTGCTGGATAAAGTATTCTTGGTTGCATGTTCTTCTCATTTAGGACCCTGAATATATCCTGCCAGCCCTTTCTGGCCTGCCAGGTCTCTGTGGAGAGGTCTGCTGTTACCCTAATATTCCTCCCCATGAAAGTCAGGGACTTCTTGTCTCTTGCTGCTTTAAGGATCTTCTCTTTATCTTTGGAATTTGCAAGCTTCACTATTAGATGTCGAGGTGTTGAACGGTTTTTATTGATTTTAGGGGGGGATCTCTCTATTTCCTGGATCTGAATGCCTGTTTCCCTTCCCAGATTGGGAAAGTTTTCAGCTAGGATTTGTTCAAATACATATTCTGGCCCTCTGTCCCTTTCGGCGCCCTCGGGAACCCCAATTAAACGTAGGTTTTTCTTCCTTAGAGTGTCATTTATTTGCCTTAATCTGTCTTCGTGGTTCTTTAATTGTTTATCTCTTTTTTCCTCAGTTTCCCTCTTTGCCATTAACTTGTCTTCTATGTCACTCACTCGTTCTTCCACCTCGTTAACCCTCGTCGTTAGGACTTCTAGTTTGGATTGCATCTCATTCAGTTGATTTTTAATTTCTGCCTGATTGGATCTAAATTCTGCAGTCATGAAGTCTCGTGAGGCCTTAATGCTTTTTTCTAGAGCCACCAGTAGCTGTAGAATAGTGCTTCTGAATTGGCTTTCTGACATTGAAGTGTAATCCAGATTTTGTAACTCTGTGGGAGAGAGGGCTGTTTCTGATTCTTTCTTTTGAAGTGAGGTTTTCCTTCTAGTCATTTTGCTCAGTGCAGAGTGGCCAAAAACAAGTTGTATTGGAACACGGGGGAGTATCACTGGTCCGTCCAGCTGGTCTTCTGGGGGAGGGGCCTGCTGTGCTGATTTTCAGGTGTTAGCACTTGGGGGAGCTGCTCTGCCCCTGCCTGCTGCCGGGCTCAGCGGGGGTTGTTTACCCCGCCAGGCCCCAGGAGGAACAGCCGCAGTTGCTATGGCAACTCTGGAAGCCTGGATTCAGCCTCCGCAGGAACTACGGGGCTCGGGGCTCTCGGTTCTCCGTCCGCAGGGCCTGGAGGCTCCGGGGCGGGGCCGCTGATCTGCTCAGCTCGGGGCAGGAGCGTCCTCGCTGTCCTGGGCCCTCCCGGCCTCTGCCTGTCCCGGGGGAGGCCGGATCCTGGGCTGTGTCCCGGCGCCCTGTGCCCCGGGGCCTGCGCTGTGGGATTCGCGCTCCCGCCCCGCAGCCCCCTCCGCGGAGCCGCCGCCCGAGCCCCTCCGAGCTGCTCCGGTCGGTCCCCGCCGTGCGTGCTGCAGCCCTTAGGGAGCTCGGAGCACTCCCCTGCGCTCGCAGGTGTCTGTTAGTGTCCCCGGGAGCCCGAGGGCATCCCCGCCCTCCTGGGTCCTGCTCCAACTCCCTGCGAGCCCCTTTCCGCCCGCCCGGGAAGGTTGGTGCAGCTCCTGCTCCTCCGGGACGGGGCTCTCCTGTCCTGGGGACACTCGCCCCGGCCTCAGCCCGGCTCCTCGCGGGGCCCCTCCCCCTCGGAGGCCTTTTGTTTCTTTATTTCTTTTCCCCCCGTCTTCCTACCTTGATAGAAGTGCGAACTTTTCTCACTGTAGCATTCCAGCTGGTCTCTCTTTACATCTCAGGCCGAATTCGTAAATTTTCAGGATGGTTTGAAGGTTATCTAGGTAATTTGGTGGGGACAGGTGATTTGGGGACCCTGCTCTTCCGCCATCTTGCCCCTCCCCCCCCTAGATCTTAATTTTTTAATCACAAAAAATATGTGTAACTATGAATGGTGATGGATGTTAATTAGACTTATTATGTTGTAAACATTAAAATAATATGATGTGTCAATTTTACCTCAATAAAAAATAAGTAACCACTCAATTTACCACTCAGTTTACTAACTGAGAGGACACTGGTCATCTTGGTCTAGGGAGAAGTAGATGGTAGTGGATTGAGGAGTGAAGAAGAGGTGAAAAATTAATGATATAGTCTTTCCAAAAGCTTGATTGTAATAGGACTATGAAGTGGAAGCTGGAGGAGGATTGTGGGGTTTTTTTCTTTTTTAAGGTGGTAGCAGTTTGAGGATGAGTACATATTTGGGGGAAGGGGCAGTGTGAAGGGAGAGGTTGGCATTAAAGGAGTAAAAGAGAATAATGAATGGACTGAGATGCTGAAGCAGCAGGACAAGTTGGTAGTGAACAGTGTTTAACTTTAAATGGGAGAAGGGCCCCTTTTCTACTGAAACAAGACAGGCTGGAACAGAGAAGAGGTCAAGTGCATATGGATGAACCTGCTGCTAAGTGGAAAGTAGGAAAACATTTCTCTTTGATGGTCCTGTTTTCTCAGTGAAATTATTTGCTGAGAGTAAGGATGGGGAATTTGTGCATTATTGGGGAATAACAGTCTATGCTAGTTCAGCCCATGAAGAACACAATTTGCTAAAACACACGTGCACGCGCACGCACACACACCTTGCTGTCAATTACTAAGGGAGTCACTAAGGGCCAAGGTGTGGGTGGAGACCAATTTATTCAATGGCAGCGATCTATATGTGCATGTATGTTCTAGAGGTGCTCAACCACCAGGCTATATATAGACTGTAAACAATTTGAATGGCTGCATCAAACCTCTTTGAGAATTTACTCCTTAAGTGAGACAGAGAACATGTGTTAACATTTATTGAGTGATCTTGGACATGACAATCTCTCTAAACCTCAGTTTCCTTATCTATAAGATGGAAAAATAGTAGCTGTCTCACTGGGTTGTTGTGAGAATTAAGTGAAATATTAGTGTCCCTCAATTTTTTTTTACCATGACCTTCAGTAAAAAATGTGTAGCCTTATCATGAGGATTAAATGAATATCTACAAGTTCACAATGCCTTTCCCAAAATATTTGGGGACTTACTGTGTTTCAAAATTCAGAACTTGGAGGATTTCAAGAAAGTAATATGATGACCAGAACACATATTACATAACACCCCATTAGGGCTTAGAAAAATATCCAAAATCAAACATTAATTTTTTCCAAAGCCAAACAAGAATATTCACACAAGCTGTAAGTGAAGACTATAAATAGCCTCCCTTCAGTTTTAGGTCAGATTTTGCCACCACAGGAATTCAGGTCACATTTTGCTTCAAATGCATTTTTTCCAATTTTTTATTTAAATTCCAGCTAATTAACGTACAGTGTAATATTAGTTTCAGTTGTAGAATTTAGTGATTCATCTCATATATAAATAACACCCAGTGCTCATCACAACATCAAATGCATTTTTTTATGTTTTGGGGTTTTTTTAGAACTTTATGGATTTTGGAATCATGGATATGAATTTGTAGATATAGATAGATATAATCTTTTAAAAGAACCCAGCACATAATAAGTATTGTTTGTTATTATTATTGGCATTTCATTTTTAAAATGACGGCTATACCCACCAAAGGGATTTCATGATGTATTATTAAGTTGTGACCCACAGTCTGAGAAATGCTAACATATAAATGTTTATTAGCCTTGTCTCTGTTATATACGAGGCCCTCTACATGTTACAGGGAAAAATTACCATCTTATGTTTTGCATAATATTTTAAGTTTGCAAAATTCTTTTAAGTACATAATTGCTATGCATCTTCGCAGTGACTTTATCAGAAATAATCTAAATGGCTTACCTTTCCTCTTTATTTACTTGATAATTTCATGTCTTGTGCTTTTATGATGAGTGGAAGGAAATTTAAATAATGATAATCGCATCTTCCTGTGACATTTATATATTGACACCTAAAGCACTTTTTAACTTTTCTTTAATTATTTTATGTGAAAGAGATAATTTAGTTGACAGATAAACAGAACTAAGAGGTCAAGCCATATGTCTTAGGTTATAAAATATACCATTTCTTCATGGAATATGTCCAATAGAACATACAGCTATGTAAAAGTTGTATTTTTAAGGCATATTATTCAGTTCTTAAAATGAGCTATAGACACACTTCTCTAAAGTTACCTTATAAATCTTTATGCTTTATTTGTTAGTGCTCTTGGAGACATTAAAATAGCTGAAGTAAATGTCAAAGGTTTATTTGTGAAGCTCATTAACTCTTCTCTTGACAAAGAACTGGAGATTGGAGGTCATATTCTCCAGCAAAATGTGAATGGACAAACAATCTCTTTGTATCGCTTCCTTCCGAATATCGTAATGCAAGCCAATTGCACAGTAACAGTGAGTATAAGATATAAATGCTATGAACTAGAATTGTACAGAAAAAATTTATTTGCTAAAATGTGATTTCTGGTTGTTGTTGGTTACTTGTGCCACTTTGTCCATCCTTGAATATAAATTAATACCCATAATAAAATGTCCATGGCTTTCCTCAATTTGGTGCACAATACCTTTTGGGATTATTAAAGATTTGTTTGTTTGAGAGGGAGAGAGAGTGAGGGTGAGGGAGAAGGGGCAGAGAGAGAGGGAGAGAGAGTCTTAAGCAGACTCCATGCTAATCATGGAGCTTGCTCTCACAACCCTAAGATCACAACCTGAGCAAAACCAGGAGTCCGTGATATAGCTGACTATGCCACCCAGGCATCCCAAATACCTTTTGTTTTCATGATTCAACTATTAAAACAAAATACCTAAGCTCCTAAAACTAAGCAAACATAATCCTTAAAAGAAAAACTAAGAGATCATATACTCAGAGAACAGGTAATTAGCTGATGCTGGAAGGTTTCCTCTCTTTCTTGTGCTTTCCTTTAAACCATATGCAGTAGCTGTTTGCTGTTACACAGCTTGACATTATATATTATACAGTCATATTTTAAAACCTCATCTGTTCAGAATGATGCATTGCAATGACCCTCTGACATCTACAAAACTACTTGGTCTGTCACTAACAACCATTTTCTTACAGGTGTGGGCAGCTGCATCTGAAGCAAAGCATCAGCCACCATCAGATTTTCTTTGGAGAGAACAAAACAAGTTTAAGACAGGCCCAAATTGTACAACGATTCTGTGCAAACCTAATGGTGAAGTCAGTGTCCTATTCTTAACAATAGGTTTTTTTAAAAAGAATAGGTAGCTGTCCTTAGTTTCCCCTTCTCCTCTTAGCTGACTCAATTATTTTCCATTCTTAATAGCTTGTATAAAACCATTATTAATTGCAATAACATGTCAGGCAAATCAACAGCACCCTCTTCCCAGGGCCAAAGTGCCAAAGAGCTACTTATAAATTGGCAAAAATAATTTTCATAGTCTACATTCCTAAGAAGTTGTTGCAAATTTCAGAGTCAAGGATGGATTTTATTTATGATATTTAGGTTGAAGAGAGGAATAAGAAAGGCAGGTACTACTAGAGATCTTTTCTATTCATTTATTCATGTCTCAAATATTTGTTGAGATTATTCTCTACTCAATGGCTGTAATAAGTGCTGAGAATATAAAGTAGAGTAGGACATGGTATCTGCTCTTAAGAGACTAATATTTTAGTGAATGGACATATAGTCTAATTTGTAATGACTCTACATTATTCACTATAAAGTTAAGTGTATTAGTAATAATTTTGGGTAACTCATTCCCAGTATTTGACAATTTTATATTTTCATTCTACTTTTTCCTTAGCATAATATTAGCATAAATATATGCCCAAAGACATACTAATAAAGTTGAAAGATATTTTTGTTTACAACAAAATAGTCATTTCTCTTGCAAAACCATTCTTGTGATTTTTCTTAAATGCCTGCCTTTTTCTCTACCTTCAGTCTTACTTACTATGTCATAAAACTACTAATCCAGATAATACGTTGATTGGAATCTATCTTTCTGCTTGTCTTTCTTGCTCCATTATATCTCATGCTTAGTTTGATGTTCCCTTTAGAGTAGACTTGCTAATTTATTATGAGCAATTTAATGTCTTTCTATAAGAATAGCAGTTGTTAGAGAGAATACTCATTAGATGTAATTTTGAAGCCTTTACCCACCTTTAGTTTTTTTAATGGGCTCTTACTGAATTGTATACTTCAAATGATTTTCATTGATGGGAAAAATAAGGTGATGTAATATAAATTGTTTACTCAGGCTCATAAAAAAATCATTGGCAAAACTCTATGATTAAGGCATTCCTGTTTCAGACTTTTCATCACATTTATCCACCCATTTATTCACTCTGCAAACACATTTGGGGTTTCTACTTTGTATGCACACTGTTCTTAGTCACTAAATGTTGAACCAGACAGACCAGGTCCCTGAGCTCCTGAAATCTCCATTTGAGTAAACTGTCATTCCCTGCAATGGAATTAGTCTTTGTACTTACACTACTTCTTTTACTCTGGTTTGAACTATTTTGCACATCAAGGATCAGATTATTTCTGCAGGGTGATGTAAACACAAAACCCTTTATTTGCTAGTAAAAGAGTGAAACTGATCAATTCATTCATATGGGAAACATTTACATATGTTTAGTATCTGCCAAGTATTATGCTAGGTGGTGGAAAAAAAGAACGTAACTATTGCATGGTTCCTGTCCTCAGGAAATTCAGTCTAATAGGCTCCTTTATCCCACCTAGAATTCAAGCTCAAAGAATGTGGCTTCTTCTCCATGTCTCTCCTTCTACTGCCCATTTCCCCATCTCAAATAAAACCTGTATATATGCATATACATATGTATATTAAATATTCCAATTTAATGATAATATTACAAATACTTTTTTGCATAGTTCTTTACAGTTATGAAATTTAGTAGCTTAACTGAATCTCACAACCACCCTCCTCATATAGCAATTCCCTACCATCACCCTCCCCATTTCACATATGAGGACACAGTCCAAGACAGTAAGCAGATAATCTGCCTGAGTTTATGCAGTTTATAGTTTTCGGAATTGGAAACTAAGGCCAGGATGTCTTACTACATCTTCATTGAGTTCCACTAATTGACACATAGTAGGTAAGTGACATTAAACTGTTTGACTTTGAAACTTTATTGCAATAAGCCTATGGTATTTTTTAAAAATCTACCTAACTGGATTTATATCTGATATTAATGAATCATTTTTGTTAGGCTGTTGCCTGGTATACTCCTATTCACTGGAAGCAAGCGTGGGAGAAATTAGAGACTGACATTGAATTTGACAGATGCTCGATAGTAAGTCCGTCTCAAAGACACAGGTTTCCATGGCCAGTATCTATAACTACAACTGAAGAAAAACAAGATAAATCTGATAAAAATATCTCAGGATATCAGATGAAACAAGTTAGAGTTTTTCTTAAAAGGTAAAAGTTGCTTGGCTTTTTTTTTTTTTAATGGAGTCCTTCCCACAATTAGTAACTGAGCAAGTAAGAATGATTGGGTAACAAATAGATTCATAATGAATACGTAAATCAATAATGACCAAAAAATCCTATTTTAAATAGGACCATAAAAACTATAATGCTTTTTTTGTTTCATAAAAAACACAGAGCAAGCTGGATTATAGTCATGGAATAGTAAACGCTGGTGACTTCCACTAGGCGATTTCAAGACCCCCTCCCACCATTTCACTTAGTGGCACTGCTATTACAGGCAAAGCTGTGGAGAGGTGAGGAGATGAAGTTATCACCCTGTCTTTAGTGCTTAGGTGGAGGAAGAGGTGCATCATCTAGAGATTTCATCTTGGATCAAGAGCTAGCTTGTGGCTTAGAGTGCAGAATTTATGTTACACATATTGAGGCAAATGCCTCTGATGTTGATAAAAGTGCTGCCCAAAGGTCTAGAAAAGCCATATTCTCTGGTCTTAAAACATGCTTTAACTTTAATTGAGACTTCATTGCTAATTCCACTATTTAAGATAATTTTTGGGTTTACTTTTGGCTTAATTTTTTTTCTTTTTTTTAAAGAGAAAAAGAAAATCCACCACTCCCTTTTCCCAATAGCAGCCCATGGTGCCACAGTCCCAATGTCCCTTCACATCCCTACTGTCCTCTGATTGAACCTTGCAATAACTGCACGGCTGAAAGCAGCTTAGATAGACAGCCTAGGCCTCAGTCATCCAGGCCTGATCCAGCCCAGGTAAGTCAAAGGGATACATATTCCAGTAAAGAGTTAAGGGATATGGGGGTGTGATGAGGGAGGACAAGAGAGAAAGAGGGAGGGAGGAAAAGAGAAGGAGGGAGGAGTGAAACCTGGTAAAAGGGGTTAAGTGGTAAAATTCACTATTATTAAGAACTATTCATATCCTCAAGTATAGATGGCTCCTAAAGCAAATATCTGAAATCAGTCACTTACATTTGCTTTACCAAAATGTCTTATACTGTTCTTGATAAATAGCCTTTTTTTTTTTTTTAAGATTTCATGCAGGAAGCCGGATGTGGGACTCAATCCCGGGACTCCGAGACCACGCCCCAGACCAAAGGCAGGCACCAAACCGCTGAGCCACCCAGGGATCCCCCGATAAATACCTATTGAATGAAGCAATGGATCAAAAGAATAGTTGGGGGACGCCTGGGGTGGCTCAGCGGTTGAGCCTCTGCCTTTGACTCTGAGCATGATCCCAGAGTCCTGGGATCAAGTCCCAAATCCGGCTCCCTGATGGAGCCTGCTTCTCCCCCTTGCTGTGTCTCTGCCTCTCTCTCTCTCTCTCTCTCTCTCTCTCTCTCTGTGTGTGTGTGTGTGTGTGTGTGTATCTCTCATGAATAAATAAATAAAATCTTTTAAAAAAAAAAAAGAATAGTGGGACCAGCATACATAGGATTCTTGAAGTTTGGTCAAAAGTACATTTGTTTTTCATTAAGCAGGAAAAACTGGCTCTATAAATCTATACTGTGCTTAAAGAGAAATCCATCTTTTCCAAACACATTCTAATATAGTTCCAAATTCTTATTGTTTTTCAACAAGAAGCTTCTTGTTTAAGTCCTCTAAAGTTTTCAGAGTTGTGTTATTAACCCAGGATCTATGAATGCATTTCAGGAAGTCCCTGAACTGCTGTATTTGGTACACAAATGTGTGCCTATATGCTGTTTCTTGGAGAAAGAGTTCATGAGGTTCATCAGGTACCCCCAAATGTTTACAAGAAGCTAATTAAAACACAATGCCAGATCCTAAGCTGTGGAGAAAGTCTGTTTCATACAGGTGCTATATCCTGCTCATGCTAAAATGGTTCACAAACTTTTATTTAGTAGAGGGATGCTTTTTTAAATGAAATCTTGCAATGAGAGGGGCACTTGGCAGGATGAGCACTGGGTGTTATGCTATATGTTGGCAAATTGAACTCCAATAAAAAAAATTTTAAAAAAGAAATCTTGGACAGACCCAATATATAAAATGGAAAAAAAGCAAACCTGTCCAAGTTGAAGAAAAGGTAGCAATTCCTACTGACCACTATACCCTTCTTCCCTCCCATCTTGCCTGGCTTCTTCCCTCCTTCCCTGCGATCTTTGAGGCACTCTCTGGAATCAAAGAATTCTATATCACAGTATGAAAACCACTGTGTTAGTAGAGCAACACATAAATGGAGCTAGCACCCCCAAAATAGTAACTTTTAGAAGTGAAATGATGAAACTTATGTAAAGTACTGAATATATTCCACTTCATAAAATTAAGTACCTTAGATCTTTTTGCTTGAGTTTCTTCATTTGTCAAGAAAGAGATTTGGGTCTGAAATTCAAACAGCCCTTTTAGCAATTATTTATACACATAATTTATACAGATGCACACCTTTAGTACATTACAACTTAGATTTGAAACTTGCAAGAAGTACATGAATTATGTTTTTCTCCAAATGATGACAGATTTCCTATTTTACTCATTCTAAACAACTTGTTTCCCAAGGAAATTTGACTTCAAATTTTCTGTAATTTTTTATTCAACTATAATTAACATAAAGCATTGTATTAGTTTCAGATGTACAATAAATACATGATTTAAATTTCTGTGCATTACTCAATGCCCATCACGATAAGTATACTCATAATCCCCTTGACCCAATTCATCCATCTCCCCCACCCACTTCCTCCCTGGCAACCACCAGTTTGTTTTCTAAATTTAAGAGTCTTCTCATGAACAGACTGTTTTCCAAATAAGACATACGGGTGGCCGACATAAAAAGATGCTCAACATCACTCATCAGAGATGTGAAAATCAAAACCACAATAAGATACCACCACACACCTGTCAGAATGTCTAAAATCAAAAAATCCAGAAAAACAAATGTTGGCAATGATGTGGAGAAAAAGGAACAAAACAAATGAACAAAGGGGAAAGACAAACCAAAACACACTCTTAACTATAAAGGACAAACAGAAGGTTACCAGAGGATAGTTGGATGCGGGAAATGGGTGAAATAGGTGAAGAGAATGAAGAGTACATTTATCTTGATGAGCACTGAGTAATATATTGAACTGCTGAATAACTATATTATACATCTGAAACTAATATAACACTGTATGTTAACTATACTGGTATTATAATAATTTTTCAAAAAAAGTAGTTTTCTCTCTTTTATTCTTTGTTCATATGTTTTATTTCTTAAATTCCACATCTATGGTATTTATCTTTCTCTGACAGACTTATTTCACTTAGCATTATATCCTCTAGATCCATCCATGTTGTTGCAAATGGCCAGGTTTCATTCATTTTTAAGGCTGAAATATATACACACATACTACTTCTGAATTCATTCATTTATGGATGGACACTTGGTTTGCTTCCATATCTTGGCTACTGTAAATAATGCTGCAGTAAATAGGGGTGCATATAGTTTTTAATTAGGTTTTTTTTTGTTTTCTTTGGGTAAATATCCAATGGTGAAATTACTGGACCATATAAAAATGCTATTTTCAATTTTTTTAGTAACTTCCATACTGTTTTCCACAGTAGCTGCACCAGTTTGCATTTCCACCAACAATGAAGGGTTCCTTTTTCTCCACATCCTCACCAATACTTGCTGTTTCTTGTCTTTTAGCCATTCTGACAGATGTGAGGTGATATTTCATTGTGGTTTTGATTTGCATTTGCCTGATAATTTAATGATGCTGAATATCTTTTCATGTATCTAATGGCCATCTGTAGGTCTTCTGTGGAAAAATGTCTATTCAGATCTTCTGTCCATTTTTCAATTGGATTATTTATTTCTTTGGTGTTCAATTGTATAAGGGTTCTTTTTTTCAAGTGTTCATTTAAATTCCAGTTAGTTAACATACAGTGTAATATTAGTTTCATGTAGAATTTAGTGATGCATTACTTACTTACAAACCCAGTACTCATCACAGCAAATGCCATCCTTAATCCCCATCACTCATTTAACTCATTCCCCTGCCCATCTCCCCTCCAGTAACCAGGAGTATGTTCTCTATAGTAAAAAGTCTATTTACCAATTTGCCTCTCTTTTTTTTTCTTTAGTTCATCTGTTTTGCTTCTCAAATTCCACATATGAGTGAAATCACTTATTTCACTTGCATAATTCTAGCTCCATCCACATCTTTTAAAATAACATACAACAACTTCTTTATCCATTCCTCACTCAATGGCATTGGGTTTCTTCCATAATTTGGCTATTGTTGATAATGCTAATATAAACATTGGGGTGCATGTATCCCTTCAAATCAGGATTTTGTATCCTTTAGATAAATACCACAACTTCTTTATGCATTCATCAGTCAATGGATATTTGGGCTCTTTCCATAATTTGGCTAATGTTGATAATGCTGCTATAAACTTTGGGATGCATGTATCCTTTCAAATCAGTATTTTTGTATCCTTTGGTAAATATTTAGTAGTACAATAGTTGGAATGAGGGCAGTTCATTTTTAACTTTGTGAGGAACCTTCATGCTGTTTTCCAGGGTGGATGCACCAGTTTGCATTTCCACCAACAGTGTAAGAGGGTTCCCCTTTCTCTGCATCCTTCCTAACACCAGTTGTTCCTTGTGGTATTAATTTTAGCCATCTGACAGGTATGAGGTGATGTCTCATTGTAGTTTTTATTTGTATTTCCCTGATGATCAGTGATGTTGAGCATATTTTCATCTACAGTGGTCTTACTTTTTTTCATCCATTCCAGCACCCTAGATAGTCTTTTGACTGAAGCATTTAGTTCATTTACATTCAAAATAATTAGTGATAAGTATGTATACTTGTTGCCATTTTGTTACTTGTTTTATGGTTGTTTTGTAGTTCTCTGTTCCTTTCTTCTCCTGCTCTCTTCTTTCACAATTTGCTGGTTTTCTTTAGTGGTATACTTGGATTCCTTTCACCTTATTTTTTCCATATCTATGAGTAGTTTTTGATTTGTGATACTATTAGGTATATATACCGTCTTATGCATATAGCAGTCACAACAGTAGGGCACACACAACAAACATAGTAGGCACTCCTGAAGTGCCAGTTTCTAGTGAACAGAGAACACTGCACTGCAGGGAACTGTAGGACCTTTTCTTTATAAGATCAACCCAAACAGGTCCACGCCAATATATATAGTAATTAAAATGTCAAAAAGTGGTGAGAAAGAAAGAATATTAAAAGCACAAAGAGAAAAGAAAACAGTTATATACAAGGGAAACACCAAAAGGCTAATAGATTTTTCAGCAGAAACTTTGCAGGCCAAAAGAAAATTGCATGATATGTTCCAAGTGCTTAAAGAAAAAGCATGCAGCCAAAAATATTCTATCCAGCAAAGCTATCATCCAGAATAGAAAAAGAGATAGAGAATTTCCCTGATAAGCAAAAATTAAAGGAATATAGGACCATTAAATCAGTCCTACAAGAAATGTTAAAGCAGACTCTGAGTGGAAAGGAAAGACCATAAGTAGGAGTAAGAAAAGTAGAAATCACAAAAGCAGTAAAATTAAGTATATCTATAAAAATCAGGTAAGGGATTAGTAAAATAAAAGGAGGGAAAATATAACACTATATAGCTAAAATGTAAGAGGGGCAGGAGTAAAGATGTGTTGAAAATTAAGCCACCATCAACTTAATAACTTCAGGAGTGCCTACTATGTTTGTAGTCAGACCTGATATTTGCCCCCAGCCCATTGAGGAGCTTTAGTAGGACTGGTTTCTATCATTATCTTTCCC